TAAAATCCAACAGTGCTTTTCAAACACTTACTGGCCCATTAAGTTAAAAAATCTTTCCATTACTAATTTCAGTTAATTACCATCTTCTTAAACAAATAAAGACCTTGGCTACCTGGATCAAAGCCTGGTGCTTCAAACTAAGGCAAATTCTCTTGAAGTCACAGATTTGGAAAAACGCCTAAACACATAGTGTGGAGCTGGTGGTACAGAAGGCATGGGAAGGTGAGCATCATGATTGCTGATGGGGAAGGCAGACCCGTCCCCATACACCCCTTCACCTTCACCTGGAATGTGGGCACACTCCCCTGTTGTTTCCACCATCCGGATCCAGAAGAAGTCATGGGCCTGTTTGCCGGCTGCTGGTCGTTTGGGTGTTACTGTTCCCATCCTTCTCGTTAAGCCTCTGCATTTTGGCTCTGGCAAAGCCCAAGGTCAGAATAAAACGTACTTGGTTGCTGATGACTGATGACTAATTTGGGGTGAAAAATCCTGCGTAAGGAGTTTTCCACCCAAGAACCTAAATTCTCTGCTTTGGCACTACTTATTTTAGAAGACGCACATTCCAAAACCAGATTTCAGGATGAATCAACCAAGCAAGAGGAAAGTGGCATGCTGGCTGAATATTTAATTGTTGTATTTGTGCAAGCAATAAAAGACTAGGAAGGGGGAGGCAAGAAGGGAGGAACAGAAATGCTCTGGAATGACTTGGAAATGCACAAGTTTTTATTTATCAACTCTGTTTACTTTAAAATACATCCAACTGGAACACTAGGTGCAGACATAAAAATTAAAATAGAAAACATCCTGGGCCAGCCTCTTAGAGGATGCAAATTGGCATGGGAGTTCCCATGGCTTCCAGCAAAGCCTGCTGCATTTGCACCAGCTGCACTTGGTTGCTTTCAGTTAAGTTAAATAAAGTCAACTCCGTGGCTGGAGCTGATTTTGCAAGGACAGAGACGGAGTGAGAAAGAGATGAGGTCTCTGAGGTACCTGTGAGCTAAACCGTTTGGGGCACAATGGGTCTGAATGAGACCAGAGATGAAGGGGAAGCCGATGCAGGTCAAGGAGCGCAGGTGTGCTCCAGATATGAGCAGTGCTACGGCTTGCTGCCGTCCTGGGTGGTCCAAAGGTGTAATCCCACCAAGGGCTCATTGCAGTAAACCAAGCCCTTGCTTCCTGGACTTGCCATGGACTTGAGGGAAGCAAGTTCAAGTGGGGTCACAAAAAAGAATACGACCATTGAGTGGTAACAATGCATACAAATTACCAACAGACCGTGAAATTCAGCCTCAGTCTGTTGAAAATGCTGTAAGTATGGAAAAAAAAGAGTACAGTTAAACTTCATCTGCACAAAAGGTGATGTTGAAGCCTTTCTTAGAGTCTGTGTGGTACTTGTGGCATGCTATTTATACAGCATTAATAGGGATAATGTTTTCTTACTGCATGGATTAATCCCTTGCTGAAGTGTCAGAATGGCTGGATGAGGCTGTGATGGAGCTCTGAAGAGCACCAAAAATGCCAACAGGTCCATGACAGCCCTGTCAAATTTGAATGACTACAGATGGCTAGATCTGAAACTGGAAATACGTTTTCTCTCTCTGCAAACAAGAATGAGTCTCTGAGGAAATTGGAGTTGCCAAAAACTTATTTTCTGTGGGAGCCTGGACTGTAAATCATGGTTTAGTCCCATCTGGGCATTTGCATCAATTAATAAATAATGTGTTCTTCTCTTAGCCAGGACTTCATGCTTGCTGTGGGGTGCTGGAGAGCTTTTTTACAGTGAACGTATGGACTTCTCTGAGATATTCACCATTACATAGGTGCTAATGGCTCTGAAGAATTGAGACAGTCACCCAAATTGTCCTTTCCTAAATGAAGCACCTCTAGTTTTTAGGTAGGGAAAGTAAAGCAGAACCGTTTAAATCTGAACAACAGATGTAAGAAATAGAATATCTACGTATTAAAAAAATCTCGCATGAAATTATGGTCAATGCACATTTGATCAGCTTTTCCTGCTCAACTCACCTTTATTAGCTGAAGATAAAAGCCAGCTGAAAGCACTTGCAATAATACCGTCACAGAAAAATGCCCCAGTGAACTCTCTCTGAGATAACATCTTCAATAATCTTTCCCATGTTAAATAAACAGCCAGAAAGGAAAACAAGAATGGATCCAAATGTTCATTTCTCCCTAGCAGTTGTGTTTTTGGGAGTGGAATGGTTCTGGATGGAGGATCCTACATATGGCTTAGTTAATGGATCATGATATGAGTGGAAACCTGCCTAAAGAGGAATTAAAAAATGAGGGCTCAAAGAAGAGCCTTTCGTGTAATAGTTTATGGGCTGAATTCTTGCTTAAGGAATGCAAATAATCCCTAGCAGATATGACTGCCATTGACATCTACAGGAGCAGGCACTGCAAAAAGGGGAGCTGGGTTCGGGCTGCTGAGGGAGATTAGAGAAATGTGGCAGCATGTGGTATTGCCTTTAAGGAAACTATTAGCTGAGGAAGCAAGTCACATTTCTCTAATTTTATTAGTATTGGCCAAATCTGGGAGTTCTCACCTAGATTTTAATTGGCCAAAATTTCTCTTGAAGTCAGTTGGAATTTGCCTGAGTAAGGGGCTCTGTAACAGCTGAAAAAGGTCTTCAGGACTAAAGCCCACTATCCTTTCTTGTACCAGATGGTCTGATTAAGTGTCAAGAAGTCCCCACAAGGCAGTTTATAGGTGAAGTATATGGGCTTGGAGCTGTTCAACCACTGTCGCGGACAGTGAGCAGTATTTTCCCTTACATCTGAACACTATTAGAGAGAGAAAAGAAGACAGAACCATACTTGAAAATGTGAAACATAAGTAGAAATTAAGACAGAGACATCTTTGGGTCTGCAAACACCGTTAACAGCACATATTTTGCTGTTTCATCTCAATTTCTACTCTTTTCCATAAAACAACATGTTAACTTACTCTGGCCCTCAGGGATGAAGGTAGAGAAATTACCTCCATGAAGATTAACCACTTGAGGAACAGGGGCAGTAATGCTTCCTTTTTTTAAATGGTCTTCCAGATTTTTAATCTCTGTGATGGAAAAATTATTTCTGCAAACAACACCCTCAAAGAAGAAAGGTCAGAGTGTATAGGGGAACTAAGCTATGCTCATGATGCTTTGGGTATCAAAGGTAGCTTATCTGCAGACGGAGTATCAATTGTTGCTTCTTGGACATAACTATAGAAGAGGACAGCACATGAAGTCTATGATATATTCAGTGTCTTCGAGGACTCCCTCTGAGCTGGATCTGAGTTAAGATTATAGACATTTATGATGGAGCTAAACTCTCAGCCATTTCTCTAGGCAAGATGCTGAAGACTGATATATGTTTGTAAATGAAGGCCCTAAGATCAAAGCATGCAGATAAATACCAGTTAAAAAAAATGAAGAAATCTAATCATAAAATGTCTACTAAAGAGAAATCTTGACAAAACCCAGAGAAAAGCTTGAATGAAAATTATCAAGCTTGTCTTCTTTTCTCGCTGGAAGTGACCGTAATTTGGTATCTCCTGGAAGCTACTCACATAGAGGTTGGAAGCCATGGAAAATGGTCAGCAATGCATCTAAATGAATGAAATTTGGAAGGAAAATGTTATGCATTCATTTGCGATGAAGTTGCATTGTTATGGATTCATACTTGCAGCGGAATTTTTTAGACCTTTAACGTAACGATGACTGCAGTTTCAATTCCATTCAACTGTGATACTTACACTTCTTTTATGCTTGACCTAAACAGCTCTTTAATAGCTTATATTTCAGCATGCTTTATCCACTCCATTTTTCTTAATTTCTCCACTGAATTTTGTTATAAAAATATCAGTGCATGTGTTTCAATTTAAATTGCTCAAATGCTGGTTAACATTGGTTATTTTAAATAGTTGCTTCTTGTTTAAATACTTGGAACTTTTCTTTTCTATGGAAAATCTTAGGAAATTAAGAAAATTTTCTTATCTTGGACTCTCTAAGCTTACTTATATTGACATTTGGGTGGTGGTCTTGTATGAGTGTGTAGGCACATACACATATATGCATGCATGTACGCATGTACGTGTGTGTGTGAATGAAGAAGAAGAACATTGAACATACTGGAAGTTTCCTAGCAGTAGAAGTGATAGGCCATTATTCTTGACACTTTTATTGGGATCTATTTTGGGGGGCTAAGGAGTGAAAATTGGCAGCTGTTTGCATTTTCTGACAGATGGCTGAAGATTGGCTAATTAGAAATCACGTCTGATTCCAAGTCAAATAATCTGAGGCCACTAAGTCTTCATAGGATGTTTGTCTGAACCATTTCAGTGAGCGCTAGTGTTTTCAGAAAGAACAATATTGTTAACCCATGTTCACAAGCGCAATATAGCGCTTGTTATAAAGCAAAACTGGTTTAAAACTTGCTTTATGTGAGTGATCAGTCTTCACGCTCCTTCCAGGCAGGAAATAGAGCCCAAACCATATGATATGTTTGTTATTTATGTAAATGATAACACCGATTTAAGTGCAGAAGCTGGCTTTTTGGCAAGGGTTTGATGGTTTATTCAGTTTCCCAGCTGGGGTGATTAAAGTCAAAGGATTTCCCAAAGGTCACAAAATTCAGTGATGCATCAGCCCCCCATTGAAGCCCCAGTCTTCCACCCCTCCTCTGCCGTCTAACAAACACCACACTGGTGAGGCTGAGGACAGAATTTTGGCCCTGTTTCCTCAACCTTATTAATTTCAAAGTGCTTTTCTACTAAATACACATCACAGGCTTCACAAATCCACATTCTGGCCCGAGGACCTGTTAGACAGTGATATAATTTTCCCCAAAGATGTGATGGAAGAGTCGCAACTCAAATCACGCAGAATTGGGTCTGACAAAGCATGGGTGAACACTCTAGTGTGAACAGAGTTACTTTGGCAGAAGGAATCAGAGTGGAGGACTTAACATGCAATATGCTCTTGTGCACCAGTACTCACCCTGTGGTCTGCAAACCACTGGTGGTCCATGAGGCATCAGAACATGGTCCTAGAGATGATAGAAATTTCTTTGTTGTGTTTATTTTTAATAAATAGGCACATTATGAAACAAAAATAAATGAAAGAGGATAAAATGTAAGCCCAAAGCACTTAAAATTTAGCCTCCTTTGTTTGTTTATAAAGGAAAGCCCTCACAGCAGCACCGCACAGAATGACCCTTGGATTTTACATCCATGGATCTGAGGATGCTGAAAAGCACTGATGCAGCAGATGAAGTCTGGGATGAAGGAAGGAAGCCTTCTGCTCCCATTCTGCACCGTGGCATTGAGAGTGATAGCAAGCTTTCCAAATGATTGGGTCATATCATTTTCCATTTTTGTGTCATATTAAGATTTTGATTATAATACTTTCTAGTACTATGTCCACTCTGGGAGTCAAGACTCCTGCTTTCTTCCTGACACATCTGCTTTTATTTGCCTTGCCACTGTACATGGTTTTTTTGTGTCTGTATTTGTTTGTAGTAAAATCAGGATTGTGTCAGAGAGGGTCACATCCTTTTACTGTTTTGAGGGCTGTCTAAACCATGCAAAGCATCTGCAAATGCCTGAGATGCTGTTGGAAGGCCTCCCAGTCATGCAGTCTGAATCTCTGGTCCATCACAGACCTTTAATATTATGAATTATGATGACTGAAAGCTTTGTGATGAAACTCTGGATTTGCTGGTCAAGGGATGGGTACTATGAAAAGTGGGATTATTGTGAAAAACAGCTTTGACAATTTGCATTTTCCACAAACAGACAAAATACTAATTTCATTAATTGTGATGTTACCTGGATTCACAGTCACAATACAGAGGAGATTATCCTAAAGTATTTTAAGGATGAGACAAGGCTTAGGGAGAAAGCAAAGAGGGCAATTCTTTGTGTCTGAAATCAGCTATTTTTATTCATTCCATGTTGAGCCTGAACCCCCACAGAAATATCCATTTTTCCCACTGTGAACAGTTAGCCAGAATAATGCCAAAAGAACGGGAGAGTCCCCCATCCTCTCCCATCAGAACTATTGGATTCCTTAGGCTTTGTACATCAGCATGATGCTAAAACGATACTAAAGTGTCTGTGATTTCATGGCCACCATGGAGCCATGCTGAGGTGCCCTCAGAGGCAATCTGCATTCCCGAGATGTGTGGTCTGTACCATACAGGCTTAAAAATGTTCTTTGTGGTGCAAAACTTAGCCTTTAGCCTGTTTTATTTATTCTGACCATTAAAACCACTATTTCCTTCTGAACATGGCCATTTTTCATAGATTGTGGAGATCATTATTTGTACAGCTAACTGCTCTCTCTTTCACTTTTAACTGTTTTTCTTATATACATATGAAGTACTTTGGATCCAGCAGAGTTCATAGAGTACAAAGACTTGTGCTGGAAAAAAATATTTGCATTTCGCTTGTATTCAAGAGAAAGGTCAATAAAATAAAGCAAGATGAGAAATCATGGGGTGAAATGCTGGCCCCACTGTAGTCAATGGAGGGTTGCCATTGACTTAAGCGGTGGCCAGAATTTCACCCGCGTTGCTTCAGATATGGTGAATGGCTCTTTTTTGTCCACATATTTTGAGCATTAGGAGGCAAATGGAATAGAAATAAATCAATATCCCATCAGAAATGCAGATTTCACCTTATCCTCTATGTTCTGAATCCATAAAACATAAATTATGGGCAAACTTTGATCTCTGTGTTTGACTTAGATTTTTGTTATTGCTTCAAATTTCAGGAAGAGTGACTATTACAGAGGTTGTCTGGATGGGCTCTATAGGTGGAACAACCTGAACGGCTTGAAATGCACAGCATTCTTAGAAGATGAAAGCATCCATCGTATAGATCCAGGACCGGACAGGCTGTCTGCTCCACACAGTAACAAAGACTGAAACCATATTGGCGTGGTGCCTGATACAACACTGAATGCTTCCCTGTGGCTTTCTACTCCCAGGGAGAAAGAGCAAAGGAATCAGCAGGGAGACCAGTGGAAGTCATGGTTTGACAACATCAAAGAGCAGCTTGGACCCTATCCTTATAGAGAGAAAAAGGTTGCCAGGATCCCATGAGTTGGCTGACTAATAAGTGAAGTGCTGCCAATGCTCCTATTCAGGATGACTTGGGGTGACCCAGTGAGTGATGGCCATTGCTGGTGGAAGAAGTTAACAGAAAATAAGCAGGGAGATAAAGAAAAATAACCAAGCAAATACAGGAATTGGGAATGCATAGGAGCACAGGGGGAGTCGCCTCTTGAATCAGAAACGTCTGTGTGAGTAGTAAGGTCAACAGTGACTTCTGAGAAGGCATTTGCAGCCTTCGTTCTTGCTTCCGTCCTCTGACAGAGACACATTGGTGTGTGGTGCTATTTGTCTTGTCCACACTGGTCAGGATAATAGACAGCACTGGGGGGGGAAGGAAGAAAATACACCATTTAAATGCAGGATGGCCAGATGTACGTTTGTACTGGGATCTCACATACTGCATGTGGGTCAGCTCCTGCTAGTTATTACAAATGACCTTGTGCTCCTTTACGAACACCAGGTCCCCGGTGAGAGCTGTGTGACTTGATTTGCTCGTTTGTGTGAGGGAAAGCAACTACAGCATGTGGCATTCCAAGGCGTGCTACTACGGCCAAGGGACAGACAGCTGCCTTTGGGCAATAAAAGGCTTAGTGACTATTGGGTAAAGGACTGCACATGATATATAGAAAAGGTTTTGTGGTTCTCCAGAGGCTGAAACATTGCAACCACAGGCAGTGCCAGGAGTCCTCAGCACCCACTAACTTGCCACGAGGATTAGCTTTCATCAAGAAGGATTGCAGACAAGCACTGCACCTTACAGGGCATTGCAAACCCAATGGTACCTCCTTTCTTTAACTGGATTCCCTTTTCTGCACAAAGAACTCAATAGGAAATAGAGACACAAAATACTGTCATATTTAAAGAGAAGAGGAAGGAATAGTTTAGAATCCTCAAGTCTTAGAGTACTTGTTGCTAAACTCTGATACCCTGCTGCTGTATATCTGATTAACAACTGCCTTCAAAAACTGAAATCAATCAATCTCCTCTTGGATTGAGGTGCTGCCTACAGAGTATCCAGCTCTGCCCCATCTTCTTCACTGCACGTCCAGAAGGAGCTGCTCTGTGACACTGAGGAGCATCTGCAGGGAAATGGGGAATCCTCACAGCTGCTGAGAGCTGAGTTCCCAAACGCTGTTTGGTCCGAGTTCATTAGTCTTCCTTGCTGAAAGACTCAAAGTTGGAGTTTGTCGTCTCAGCTGGTTCAGATTGCAGAGCACAAGAAGGGAGGACGGTTTTCCAGCTTTCAAGCCAGGATAATTTGTTTGCCTTTTTGTTTTTTTATAAATTATAAAAAAGTTTTAAAACCATCAAGTCACTCTTCAGAATTATAGAGCTGCAATAAATTCTAATCTATTTGGACTCAGTTTCCGATTAATTGTTTTGCCAAGCACCCTAATAAAAATGGATTAATTTAAAGCTATGTAGAGAAAATATATATAGAATTTTACAGCAGCCCTTTCTTTAGCTGGACATGGTATGCATGTTTGAATCATTATAATAGCAATAAAAAGAACTGGTAATTACATTGCCTGTAAAAAGTCATTAGTCAGGAGTGGAAATGTATAAAACCCTACAGTTAATGGTAGATGAGTACACACATGCACATATGTACTTGAAAAAATATTAATAAGAGGATAATTATAGGATATGGACAGGAGACTGTTCTGAGGTTTAAATGAGTTATCTTCTAGGTTTGTGGGATTCTAGCAGCCTCATACATTCCTTAAAAATGAAATTCATCCTGTACAACCACCAAACACATCCCTGCAGCAGATTCCTGGACAAAGAACAATGTGGCATGAAAGAAGGGCACCCCATTCAAGTGCAATAAGCATGCCACCCTGCGAAGCTTGCTGGATGGGAACACCCACATCCAGAGCGGATCCCGATTGCTGCATAGGCAGGTTAAAATGAAGAAAGACAGTGCAATATCGGTAGCAATCATAAAAGCAACCTGCTCTAAATTCTCAAATGAACTTTGCATAAAACTATGAACGGCAGTGCTTGACATTTATTGTCCCCAGTCTCGATCACTGTCTCAAATCAGAGGCAGCAAATAAACACCCCCTGTCTTGGAAGAATCATTTGTGTGCAGAGACCTGAGTAGTTCTCCCTGGAAGTGTTTGTGAACACCAGTGTGCTAGCTACTGCCTGGACAGGCAAAAATCATCATTGCACTTTGGATAATCTGGGAGCAAACACAGCCTGGTTCAGGCTTTTTTAGCCTAAAGGAAATGAAACATTCCCAGCCCACAGGAAACCATGGAAAAAGATGGGATCCCATCACCTGTGAGTAAAGCAGGGAGACTTCTGGGTTACACATCACATAGGTGGTCTGGGCCAGTCTTAATGAACATATGAGAAGCTAAAAGAAAAGGCCAGGAGAGGAAATCATCCCTCCTTCACTCAGCCATCACAGTACAAAAGGATTATTCTTAAACATATGTTTTAAAAGCATTGTTGAGTCCTTGAGGCCAAAGTCTTTAAAGAGCACCAGCAGATGCTCAGAAGTTGATCAGGGCGATTCATTTACATGCTTAATTCAAAGAAAGTTTAAAAGAAAAGAAAAAGAAATTTCAAGAAAAATAAGCTCAAACAAGTGAGATTTTTCTTGCCAAATTCATTGAAAGGATTTTTTCCCTCCTATCAGCTGCTTTTGCATCCAACGTCAATGTTCTTTTCCCCTTTTTGAAAAAGCTTTGGACTGACATTTGTTTATAATATCCTATTAGAATTTACTAAAATATTTTCAACATAGGACCCACGGCGTCAACTCATCTTTCCTCACTAAACCAACAAGCACACATTAAGGCACAACGTGTTGGGCTTCCTGTTTACATCCGCAGACGGCAAACTAATGCGTGCTCATTCCTCCAATGTATTAATCTCGCCTTTTCCCACATAATCCGTAAATGAAGCCCAGATGGAAAGAATTAGCTTGAAATCTCTCCATTCTCCTGCTCCTCTCCCTGCAAAATGCTGGGAGAGAGGTTTTGGTAGCACTGATTACACTGCAGAATTGTTTCCTGATTCCTTAAGTATTTCGCTATCTATCTCCCAACAGTAATATAGGATTATACTGCTGGTATAATACAGGTATAATGCAGGTATAATAATGCTGATAAATTAAGGTTCCTATGCTACTTCTCTGCTTTCAAGACAAGGGATATTAAAAAGAAACCATTGAAGATTTATGAAGCAAGTAGCTAGAAACCAACAGACACTAATCTGAGCTCAGTCAGTGGAGAGACTTCCAAGCAACAGACATGGGATTAAATTTTTCCAAGTCTTACAAAGCTAGACTTGGTATAGGTTCTAAGCTCTTACATTGTTTATATGTTTTTGACCGTGTTCTTGCTGGGTATAAGATTGTGTTCTATATTCCTTATTTTCCACTGGACATATCATGAGGTGCCTACAACGCTTCTTGTAGATAGTTGCTTCAAGAACTTTGGATGGCTGTTTCCCATGGTATCCTTGCCAAGTGACAGACTATCAAAGTAATATTATCAGTTGTGTTTTAATCACACTGACAATTCAAGTTGTTTCATGATGTATCTATCCTGTAGTTTACAGGTCTAAAAGCACAATTGCATAATGGATGCCTTCCCCACATAGATTGGAAGTGGAGGAATTACAATGTGAGCCTGTGCCTTAAGCAAATGGACTGCGAAGGGTCATGTCCAGCACCTTCTTCTCCATAAAAGATTTCCTGTGTCTGTTAGGACACACCTGCCTTATTAACAATATTCACCACTTTTCAGGCTCCAGAGGCATCCCTGGATCTCTTGACATTCTTTCCCCACCTACTGCGCTTGGCTATCTCCAGCTCCAGAGACGTTGCATTGATCAACCCTTTAAGGGTGGGGAATATCCCATATTATTCATTTTCTGCAACCACAGTTATGTCATGGGCAATTCCTGACCATCTGAACTTCAAGTGAGTCTGTGCTGACTTTAAAGGCTTTCCAAACTGACAGTGAAATTTACCTGGTTAGTGCATACCATGGGAAAAATTCATCAAAGGGAATTAAAGAACTGGTCTAGCTACACATTCATCTCACTCTAGCAAAAAACAAAACCACAGATAAATTATTTTAATCCTCAATTATTAAATTGCTTGAAGGGTTTTACTGTACTGGGGAACTCTGAAGCATTTTAGACACAATGCCAGCAATTTGTCTAAAGCCCTGCGTGCTGCCGCACGCACTGAACTGCCCGTGAACTCAGGGTGGCTTCAGCATTCCTAATACCCAGGTCATGCAGCAGCATCAGCTCAGACCACAGAGGAGTTTGAATCCCAAGTGGAAGAAATTGCTTTGTAGAGAGTGCAGGATCAGGCACAGCTCTGAAACCGTTTGCCATGGGCTGAACTGACAGTAATATAAGCCAAGGAGCCACCTCATTTTGGTTTTATACCACCACACTCACCTCAAGGCAGAGCACCTTCCTGCAGAAGTCAGTAAACTCGATGGAGAAAGGACTTCAGTAGGTAATGAATAGGAAAAGCTGAGAGATCAGAATTCATTGCCTTGAAAACTGTGACATTGTCTAAAAGTTTTTGTATATGGGTGATTCTGGAGTTCTTTGGATTTTTTAAATTTTATGAATATTGTAATAGTTGCAAATGTTATTGTTCTGTTTGAATGTGTTTTATTTCAAAACATTTCTTTTAACTTGAGAAACATCCCCCTCAGCGAGAAAACTGAGAAATCTGTGCAGGCAGTGAGGAAAACAGATCTGAACTGAAAGCCAAATGAAAAATGAGAATCAAAATGAGAAAATGAAAATTACCAAAAAAATATAGAAGCAAACCCAATTTAATAATGGTCAATGACCTTTTCTTCAACCCTCAGAAGGAAAAAATATCTAAAGAATCAAAGAGTTTTCAATAAAACTTGCAATAAAAATACTCATCTCTACTCCACTAAACATCAAGGTAGGATCCAGTGGAGTGTCCATTATTCCTCATCCAGGAATCCTCTGAAAATAAAAAGAATAAAAGAAAAGAGTTACACAACTTTAGTCTGAATAGTTAATTGTTCAAAGAAACAGAATTTCCTCCAAGGCTGATAAATGCCATAGGCTATTTCAAACAACAGAGTAGTAAATCAAAAAGCAGTGCTGTTACATTATACAATGAAATCAAAGTGATTTGCAGAACCCTAAATGTTTCTTCATTACCCTTAATCCTATACCATTAAAGTAACGAGGAACTCTGATAAGGTTTTCAGGCAGTGACAAGGGAACAGGAAAATTATGGGCATTTTTATTTAAAGCATTTTCTCTCAATGCTTTTGGTTGAAAAGATAATGAAATATTGTAAAATCTTTTATGAGGTTGTAATAAAACTACCCTGTAAATGAACCTAAAACTCTAAGCTTTGTCAAAAGTTGATAACAGGACCAAGACATGTTATTATCTTGGAATAAAAAAAAAAAAAGGGGGAAAAAAAAAAGACTATTTTATATCTTATTATGCTTTTTCCATGACAAAAAAACAGAATATTTAAACAAATGAAGCCATTACTGTTCAGGGGCACAGAAAACTTGTTTAAAATGTAGATAATTAAAACCTAGGTTTTTTTAACCAGTAAACCAGTATAGAGAAGACAAGCAAATAATGAGTTATTTGCTTCCTTAAATCACAGATGTCATGTAATTTTAACACAATATATGATACGAACATATGTTACACTAGATCTCTGTCATATATCATCATGTACAGAATGACTCGCAAAGACATGATATAGTTAATACATGTAGTGGATGTGCCAGGATAGAGATCCTACTTATTTTCATCTAAACTGATTGTGTATACAGTCACAGTGGAAATAAATATATATTTATAAAGGTGTAAGATGTCTTTATGCTACAGACTTAGAGACATCTGTACTGACTGGCTGTACACACACACATACAGGGACATGGAAAGAAATTCGGAGCATCAGGCATGACTCTACTTTCCTTTCCTCATGAAGCTGTGTTTGCTTCCACGACAGGGGAGGACACTGCCTACTCCTTGGAGATATTCCCAATACAGATGATATTCTCCATCAAATGCAAGTGGAGCTGCATGCATGATTAGGTCTGAGCATCTCTGTGTGCAGCGAGAGGGGACCACTGACAAACCCTTGTGGCTACTCACTGGCAGCAAACGGCTGCCTGAGCAGACCTTAATCTGGATAGTTTATAAAACACCACGCTCCCCAATGCAGGGAACACTGCTTTAATTCTTCTGAACTGGATTAAAAGAAACATATGCTAATAGAGGGGTTGCTGTTAGTGCAGCTGCTGTATACAACCCCGCGCAGCAGTGACAGAAAAGCCATAACTCACTGCTACTAGTGAGCTTTCTGCTATTTATTTATTGAGTTCAGCCAACAGACTTCTAAGTGATTTAGATGTTCCTCAAGATAAAAACAGTATAGTAGTCAGGATTTTTTACAAATCTACCATTGCATCAGCAACGGAAAGGGAGCGGGCGGGAGGGCAGAGAGGGGGAAATGACTTGGGTGTAAATGGGCATGGTTTAGTCTTTCTGCTGACCAGTATTAGCACAGACCAGGAGGTTTTAGTGCTCTACAGGCTTTATTTTGTTTGCTTTTAGTACAGAAAAAGAGACAATATATGTATGAAGAGACAGAGTAGCACACCAGTGAAATGACAGCAGCTCTCCAAGATGCCAAGTGAAAAAGAAAGTAATAAATGGCAAGAATCAAAACAAAAAAGGCTCTGGGGAAAGGAAAAATAAAAATAAAATTAAAAATAATAATAAAAAACCACAATTACAAAAGGGAATAAAAAGGTCGCTGTCAGAGGATGACAGGAATTCCTAATGAAAGGGATTTAGCAGTGAAGGACAGATCCCTTTTTTCTCTCTTTCTACTTAAAGGCACAATATATGTTAACCCTGGAGAGCATTTTTGAACTTTGAACTCTCTGACCTTTAAAGCCCCCAAAATAAAACCCAGCCAACTCTGAAGGAATGGCAACAAACAGCAGACTCTGTCCCTCGGGTGGCTTCAGCTGCACACCCACGGCATCGCTTGGCTGCATCCAGCACCACCGCGGTGGCAGCAGTTCCTGTGGACAGACACACAGATGGATAGTGGCCAAACTCAGCCCTCATGCCCCAGCCTCCAACTGGAGTCACCTGGTGGCTGTCCTGGCAATGCCCTACCGAGGACAGGATTGTGCTGGCATTACGGCAGCTGGTAAAGGAATTAGGCTGGGGACACAGAATGTTATTACCTCTGCTTTATAATGAATGCCAACTATTCTATGAGTCTATGGTTCTGTGATACTAGAAAAAGTCACATTTTGCCCCAGTTTGCACCTTTCCCCCTTCCTCTATTTAGCTCAAGCGAGGTTACAACACAGTATTAATCATGGAATAATTTATGCCAAGGTATAAAACACCCAGAGCCATTCTACATGAGAGACCTTTAAATCCTTCCCAGCTGGAAATAAAAAAGGCTGCTCTCAATCACTACATAAGCAACTCTGGGCCACAGAGGAATAAAAAAGCCACCCTTTTTAGCCCACTTGTACCAAGTTTTAGGGAGCAAATAAGACCATCCACAGGCATTTGCAGTGATTTAAGTATTTCTCCGTCAGGGTTAGCTAGAGATCTTTGATAAGCACACCAATGCATCTCTGCCTTCACACGGTAGTGGGTGTTTATCATCCCGAGAACCATAAATCACAGAGATCATCCTTAAGCCTTAACCTTTGCAGAAGGTTTGTTAAGGGAAAGCAGAGCAAACCCCTCACCTCTTCTGCACCCACCTCGGTGGTGCCTTTTTACACTGAGTGAGAAAGAGGAAATCCGTGTTTGTCTCTCCTGTGCTTTATCGCCCTGTCCCTACCTGCACTGTGTGTTCATAAAGTATAAAATAGTGCCATCTACTGACACTACGTTTTAAGAACTTCTGTGTACTCTAAGACCTTGAAGGATGATTTTTCTATCCCTTCATTGCTGTATTAAGTCTGCATGTTCCTCAGATGTTACTAAAGCAGTTGTAAACATACTGGAAGAAAATATACTAGCGCTAGCAGGCCTGTTACAAAGGATTAAATCTACTGGTGTCAATCTAGAGCCCCTAATGAAAAGGCAAAGCAGTTGTACAGGTCTGGATTTCCCTCTGAAAAACACAGAAAGGTGTAATGAGGAATTCAAGGATGGTTATCTGTCCTCAGCAGTGCCCAAAAAGCATGTTGTATGACGCTGTCATGGTTTAAAGGGATTTGCACATGAAATCCCTTGTCATGTTATTTAAGACAAGAGGGAACACCTGAAAGGAAGGACCAGAGACACTGTGATGCAGCTTGCAGCAGTAACATGAGCAGGACCGTTGGTGTCTTATAAAGGGGGGAAGCCTGCTTGAGAGCTGTACATCTGCAGAGAGGATGTGTCATCCCCTGCTATCCACTAAGCCACGTTCTCTAGAGCTACTTCACCAAGTTAACGTTTCCCAGATAGATTAAAAGAGAGGGGAAAGAGAACACGATTTCCTTGTTTTGGAGATCTGCGGTTAGAACTGGTCAGTGTTGATATGAATATTAGTTTCTGATAACAGCACAATCACAGGGTGCAGGTGAGATGAGCCCCAAAGGTAGAAATAATCCTCGTACTTTCCCATTGCTTATAGACAGTCTACACCCAACTGCCAAACACAAGAGCTAAACAGGGTGCTATGGGCACACCTAATACTGCTGAAGAGGATTTGTTTTGAGACATACATATAACCCAAGTTTCCAAAGCATATAAACTGCATGAAAATCATGTACACATGTCAAGACAACCTTGATTTGGGAATAATTTATAGCCTGCAGCACCTTCTGTAGCATGTCCCTGAGGCTGGTGTTCCAGTCCCCAGCAGAATTACTTAAAACTTGCTTCCTGCATCTCCCTGTGCTGGGTGAGGTGCACCCCATGCCTTCTGGCATCCCCATTACTGTTCCTCCATCCTCCCACCCATCTAATTGCAACAGGCTTTGGCTCCTTGTCCAGAAGTTCCCCAAGTGACAAATGAATCTGTGTAACTTTCCGTTTACCAGCCTCCTCAAAGAGGATATGCAAGTGCTTGATTACAGCATGTTATCAGATACCAGCACTGGGATTTTTCCCTCTCCTGTTGTTTTTACGATGACGATAAGTTGTTACAATCTTTACTTTACAAGACAGCACTCATTGCCCAGGCCGACTGAGCGGGGTCGCTGATTGCCATGACTTCCCTGCAGGTATAAAGGCTGGTGATTTATGGCAGGGGAAATCCATATTAACCATAAATATCTTAATAACTAGCCATCTGGGAGAGGGAGCAGGCTATGCATCCAACACAGGCTAATTGCTCTTTAATGGGCAGCATCTACAGCACTCTCTAAAACAATGCTTTTGGCTGCGGGTGTTGCTGAGGTTATAGAAAGGGCTTTTAATCTGCAAGAGGAAATATGCCACAGTGGTGCCGACTGCTGCTCTCGGCTCAGCCCTGCTAGTCTGTGTCCCACAGGA